TGATCGAAATTAGACTGCATGTGAAAATTTCAGACCATTTCACGTTTCTCGTAACTGGGAAAACTTTTAAATTTCGTTCGAATCACAACTGAAAAGGCTTTAAGATTATATATCACTCGACTCATTCCAATGATCATTTGTGGCACCTGATTTTGCATGGTGAACAAACAAAAAATACTAAAACACTCGAAGACAAAATTACTATCCATTTTCAACGGTGGCAACAAAAAGTAGCAACCAAGGCACGAGGCTACACTTCGTATTTATGAGCTGAAAAAAAATTTGAACAATTTTCAAATATTTTTCTCGAAAAACAAAAAAAAAAAACCACCAAGACCTATAAATTGTCTTCGCTACGTTCATTGACAATTGAAAATATGCCAATGTAAATTAATTACAAAACATTAATCCAGATTTCAACGGGAACTATTTTATTACTCATCATATATATTTCGGAGAAACTCAATTGGCAAAGAACCGTCGGCCAAAACCAATGCCGAAAAACTCCTGAAACTGAGTTACCGACATCATTCGGAATACATCATTAGGAGGCGAAGGAGAGCTTCGTGCCGCTTGCGATATATCAAAAATCCACAGAACAATTTTGAAAAACATACAGAAAAACTGGAAAATCATTCGAAAAATGCAAAACTAAAATGCCACCAACAATACTAACATATGAAAACCTAAATTGGCGTCAAATTTCATGATGTTTATCATGTATCAAAGTTAAAGCCGACATACAGTTGGAAGATAACAAGGAAACCAAAAAAACTGGATTGAAAACTTTCGAAGAAAAAAATATAACACGTTGATATCAATAAGTAGTTTTTTATTCCGCTGCGAATACAGAAAATCAAAGTCATTTTTGAAGCAAAAAGTCAGTCACGCTGTGTGACATACTCGCTTTTAATGTTCAATAGTGTATATTTCTTACATTTAACAAAGGAAATGAAGTGAACTTAAAAAAAATTATCGCCAAACAGCGAAAAAACAAATCGGAGCGTGAATAAAATTATGATTTTTCCTGACAAAAAAAATCATCAAGACATACAGAGTCAAAATTAACTCCTTATTGAATCTGAATAACGGTGAGCATTGAAGCCGACAAGTTTAGCAGAACAAATATTCAACAAAAAATGCCACATTCAGACTTGACGAAGTTTACATTCTCCTTAGCGCTAAAATCTCTATAAATAGCATTCAACTAAGCGATGTAGTTGACTTGTAAAAACACGGAAAACTATGAAACTAAATGAATCTCAGAGCGACAAAGTAAAAACAAACGAAAAAGCGACGAAACGTCACGTATCAACTTTTTTTTTACCACGCATAGATTACAAAAGCACTGAAAAAACACGGTGGTACTAATAGAGCGCTGCAAAAAAGTAATATAGGCTGTAAATGAAGTATTATGACGTGTAATAACTTCAAAACGTCGTTCTTTACGGGAAAAAGAACTAGACCCGGTTGCAACAAATAGTTTGCTTAACTCAGAGGGGAAGCTGTTTTTCAGAAAGAAACACAAAATTAAACCTATGAACTTATTCCGGCTAGATTATTGAACCTATGACCTCTATATAATCAGAGTAGAATATTATAGAATCTCTATATTATAGGAAAAAAGTTTCCAGTGTAGAGAAGGCAGTGAAGGGTGTCGTAAGCAGTGATTTTTGTCGTCGTAAGCAGTGATTTTTTGCATAATCCAGCAGATTGAATTTTATTTGTTTATACAGAAGGTTATCAAATGATTGACTGATTCGGTTAGACCAGAATGTCAACGACTACGCGACCCGAAACACTGTCATCTCGTTGTACGAATTTTTTTTACTGATTAAAGGTGAGCATAGTTTCTTATTTTAAATACAACCAACAGAAAGCTTGAAAAGAGTCAATGAACGCAAGGAAACAAAAAGCTGACTTCTTTTTAAAATTTCAATGTTCGAAATTTGAAAACATATGCCTTAAAGCTCTCCGGATTTCGAGAAAAATTTACGACTAACAATTATTCTGGTAAAATTATCTCAATTTGAAAAAAATGGATCATTACATAAAGTTTAGATTCCGCTGGGAAATCTGAAAACTAACACTCGTTTAAATTTCGATCACATCCTTCGTGACCTATTTACTTTTGCTGCTCGACAGTTGGTTTAACTTCCTTTCAATACAGGAAATGAACTGAACTTGAAACAAAATCAAAAGTCAAGCCGCAAAAATTCGAATTTGAGCTTAACTTTTTCCAGAAAAAAAAACAATTGAAAATGTAAGTCTTTCTCAAAAATTTAAGTTTCTCAAAAATTGAAAAAAAAAGAGTTCACTAGTATCATCGACTCTAAAAAAAATCAAAAAATACCAAGACTTCATAAGAGTCTTCGCGACGTTTATCGTGCTCTAGAAAGTGTAGCATTTCACAAAAATGCCTTGAAAAAAGTGCATTCCGTGTCTGCCGAGCAGGACTGTGAAATATATTAAATATAAATATATTACCAATAAATACAACAAGATTGAGATCTTCAACGTTTTTGAAGTTTTTAAAATCTAACTTTTTGAAAAAATCATAAAAAACGTCAAATCTCGAAAACTACAAGGATTTGAGAAGTGAGAATTGGAGGCAAGATTCGTAACCTCTGAGAGTACCATCGCAATATCCAACAACAGGAATGAGATCATCAATATTTTGGAATTTTTTAAAATCTAAATTTTTTAAAAAACTTTTGAAAAAAAATCATAAGAAACGTCATATCTCGAAAACTACGAGGATTTGGGAAGTGAGAATTGGAGGCAAGATTGGCAACACCTGAGAGAACTCTGACAGCACCCAACTACAGGGTGAGAATTTCAAAAATTGAGAAATTTTGTAAAATTAAATTTTCTAGAAATTTTTGAAAAATCTTGAAAATTGCCTATTTCGTAAGCTAAAAGAATTTGGTTATTCATATTTGGAGGCCAGAATCGCAAAACCTGGAAAAAATCTGACAATAACCTACTATTGGGTTGCTAATTTCAAACTTGATGAAATAAACACCAAATTTAAACTGGAAAATCGGAAAAAAAACCTTAACCATTGCAATATACGATATAGCTTTAACGTGATAAAATTCTTGTTAAACATGCAAAAAAATACGTTGATAAAGCTTAAACATGGCGAGATAGTGAAACCTGCATTTAAATATATAACAATAGATAGATAATAGATGAAAGTTTAAAAAATTAGGCGACGGGTAGACAGACAATCAAATTAATTAAAAAAGCAGGTATACAGACAGACTTAATTTGGCCTCGAAAAAAATACTGAAAAATTAATGACATTGCGGAAATCTAAAAGAAAAACTTTCTTAAGCATTGCAATATATGATATAGCCTCAAGATGAAAAAATTCTTTCGTTAAACATGCAAAATTATTATACTTAAACATGGGAGATAGCTGTCACTCGCATTTAAATATAGTATAGATAGATAGATGAGAAATTTTTTAAAATTAAAACTTCTGAAAATTTTTGAAAAATCTCGAAAATTGTCTATTTCGTAAGCTAAAAGGATTTGGTTATTCATCTTTGGAGGCCAGAATCGCAAAACTTGGGAAAACTCTGACAATATCCTACTATTGGGTTGCTAATTTCAAACTTGATGAAATAAACACCAAATTTAAACTGGAAAATCGAGAAAAAACCTTAACCCTTGCAATATACGATATAACTTAAGCGTGATAAAATTCTTGTTAAACAAGCAACAAAAATACGTTGAAAAAGCTTAAACAAGGCGAGATAGTGAAGCCCGCATTTAAATATATAATAATAGATGGATAATAGATGAAAGTTAAAAAAATTAGGCGACGGGTACAGACATAATCAAATTAATTTAAAAAGCAGGTATACAGACAGACTTAATTTGGCCTCGAAAAAAAATACTAAAAAATTAATGACCTTGCGGAAAACTAATTGAAAAATTTTCTTAAGCATTGCAATATATGCTATAGCCTAAACATGAAAAAATTCTTTCGTTAAACACGCAGAAATATTATGCTTAAACATGGGAGATAGCTGTAACTCGCATTTAAATATAGTATAGATATAGATAGATGAGAAATTTTTTAAAATTAAATTTTCTAGAAATTTTTGAAAAATCTCGAAAATTGCCTATTTCGTAAGCTAAAAGGATTTGGTTATTCATATTTGGAGGCCAGATTCGCAAAACCTGAGAAAACTCTGACAATATGCTACTATTGGTTTGCTAATTTTAAACTTGATGAAATAAACACCTAATTTAAACTGGAAAATCGAATAAAACCTTAACCATTGCAATATACGATATAGCTTAAACGGCAAAAAATTCTTGTTAAACTTGTTAAATTTTATCGGAGCAATCATAAGTCGCGAAATAGGAAACAACTTCAATTGTGTTTTGTTGACCTCACTTTAGATGTTTACTGTCTTTTTGAGAAAGTTAGAACAAAAAGTGGAAGAATGTGTTGGAAAAATCGGAAGTGTTCTTCACATTAACTTCGACGGATACATTTTTTTGTATGTAAATAAACTCCGGATTCTCAAAGACTGATTCTCCAAATACATTTTTGTCGAAGAATTACCACATATATAATTAATATTTTCATTTTTACGGGTGCAAAAATAGATTTATTTATATTTAAAAAAAAACAGTTAAATACTTTTCTTCCCAGCCCTGTTGCTAAGCATATGATTTCAGCATGCGGTAAATTTCATATATCAGATATCAACCTGATAGATGACGTGTTTAAAGAATTTCCTTAATTGGATTCAAGAGTTCAATACTAAGTTCATTAAGTACAATTTTGTTCAAGATCAACTTAGCTTATTAAGAGCAACGACAGTTCGCTCACCTTTGTTCATTTGTTTAAGTTCTTTAATAATAAAAGAACTTATCGATTTATATCTACACCATAATCACTCATTAGCTTTTCTGGAATAACCTTGAAACCAAATCAGCGTATACTGTGCTTTTATCTTCGGTCTGAAAAAGTAACATCTATTACTGATGTAAATTCCATCTAACTACAATAATCAAATTTTTTTGGAAGAAATATTTATCTAAGTATGGGTATCATATCTACAGATATCTCTTGCATCACAATTGAAAAACATACCATTACATCGATAACAAAGGATTGAGATTTACAAATAATCAAAATAGGTGTAGCGAAATATAATTTCTTTGATTGAGTGACTAATCGATGAATGGGCGTTTGGGAAATTAGATTAAATTAAATTCAGCAATTTTTCAGTTGATATAAGCGTTGTTGTCTATAGGCAGTGGACTTGTGCCGGGAGACGGAATTTTCCGGGGTGATTGTTGCCGAGAAGACAAGTTTTCACTTTTCTGTTTCTGTTGGTTTCGTCTCTTCAGGGCAGCTTGGTTGGTGGCTTTGAACACCTTCTGGATTCCTCCCCGGAAGCAAAAGAAATTGTAGTCAACCAGAGGTGCTTTTTGCTAAAAAATAAAAACAAGGATAAACGGTTACTGTGCAAATAGCACAGAATGTTCCGACCATAGTCTTCAAAAAAGTACAGACATTTTTTTCAAATTAGTGTATTTTTTTGATAGTTTAAAAAATATTCAGGACATCCCTCAGCCAATCGGAAAATAAAATTCAACCATGTCTCCTTTCTACTTCAAATAATATTTTTTTCTGCTTTCATATAAGGTAAGGTAGCATCTCGGATCACCTACATTGTAGTGGTCATCTCTCATGATAAACACAAGGGCAAGATATCTGTTCACTTCTTTTAGCACCATAACACTTCCATTGGTCAGTTTGATTACACTGCTCGACTGGTAGTCGTATGATCCACCCTCATCTAGTAAGATACCATTGGCAGCCTTGTCGTTGGCTTGAACCATTCCCATATTTGGAGATCCGTTGGGCACGCTACTGCCCATCGCCACTCCATTCGAGTTGGGAGGAGTGGAGGAATCAAACATGCCTGAATTAACACTGCCACTGTCACCTTCCAATCCATCCAGAATCGCATCATTGCTGTAGATTCCTGGAAAAATGATAGCCAAAAAAATTACGATTTTGAACACAAAACCTTATTAGGACATCAATTTGAAAAAATTTTATTACACAAAGGCGAAGCTGCGCATCGCAAACACTTGCGAGATCGCGACCAAAAAGCAGCTCTATCAAGTGAAATAAGAAAAAGTAGAAATAAGCCTAGAAACTCGGCTACATGTAGGACTCGCATCTGCGACCTACTGCAATCAAGAGATTTTGAGCCTCACGCACTATCCACTCAGCCACGCAAGCTTAACAATCGACAAACACTAGTCACGAATAAAGCAGCTACATATGCTAATAACTTGCCAATGCGATTCAGTAAGAGTGGCACCAAATACAAATAGACTCAATTTTGCATGTAATAATTTGGAATATAGCAAACTGAAGGCATCCACATTAACTTTGCATGTACCAAATCGCAACGAATAAAGCCATATTATGTAAAAATTATGCATTTCAAAAAATTGCGAGATATATTGAGTTAGAAAATTTCTGAAACCGAGTTTTCATTAATGCTATGTTGTTACTTACTATTCCAATGCCAAAGCACATGCGATCAACAAGCTGTAAAGGTGCCCCACCAATATTTGCGACTAAGGTTGGAAAAAAAGAAGGATAGTACTAATACACTCGACTCGCAAGTGTTATAAAATTGCTGAGAATTAATTGCAGACCACGTTAGCAAACATCTGCATACTTTACACAGTTCCTGGTAGATCACGCTAACCTGACAGATCAATCACGACATCAATCATGTCGCAGCATAATTCGTATGTCTGCATGTCTACCGCTGAGGCATCCGTGGCTATGTAGATCTTGGATACCACATCAAATAAAAAGGCTTTATCAATGCCTGAAAAGTAGAACATTTCTTTTACAATATTTCTCTCAGTTAAAAACTGATTCCATGGAAAAATTCACACCTGAGTTTTCGACAAATATAGACAACATGTGCTCGAGAGTAGCTAATTGTGGAATAAGCTTTTGTACAACTTTACTGAAGGCCTCGAAAATCGAGTGATCATAAATAGAAGTGAGAGAAAATGAGAGGGTGATATTGGATTGGTCGTCTTGATTCAGTTTGTCGTAGGCTCGATGGTATATGTCTCGTTGTATTTCGATTTTATGATCGTCGTTCAACCCATCTACCTAATAAAACAATTCTTCAAATTCAGAACAAGGATAGCCGGTTGATGTCACAGATTGTTCCGACAACATGATCAGAAAAAATTCTTCAAGTTAGTGCCTTTTCTTGTACGTCTTGTGATGATAGAATAGAACTGTACAAATGTGTAGAAATTTAGTCAGTTAGGCATAAACGACTACAATTAAAAGTTTTTAAATATGTTCTATTTTTTGCATTAAAAACTTCACATATTTTCGAACGTTTTTTTTTGCCGGAAGCGCTAAATAGGGCTTCCAAAAATAACACAAATGGACAATTAAATGCATTGCTTAAGCAAGTATACATACCTTGTGAATAAAAATTTCGAAGTTGATATTAGGATTGACTGAATAAGCTCTTGTGACCACGGCTCTCATGATATCCAAGGAATCTGCATAATCATCCTAACAAAGACAATAAAAACAAATGTCAATATTAGCATCTTGTTGCATTTTTTGGTAGGTGTTCATCAAGACTAATAATGAGATGTTACAAAAATGTGAAAATAATTTCGGGGATCGTACAATACTCCCGATACTTGACAAAAAAAACATGGCAACCTGGCTGACAGAAAAGCTAGCCAAAAACTAAGTCGAAGGAACTGTTCGAAAAACAATTTATCAAAAACTATGTCAACCAAAATTTTCAAAACTAGTACTTCGGAATTTTTTAAAAACTAAATCTACAGAAGATTTCTGATGTTTGAACAAAAAAGTCAAAAAAACACAATTGTCAGCAATATAATGGCATTGAAATAAATTCATGAATCGGCAACTAAGACGGCATAACTTTGGTCCATTGAGCAGAACAAAAAACTGAATCATGATATATTTTGAGCGACAAAAAAGCCGATTAAGACTAGCCGAATACTTCACATGATTTTGAGTTAAAACAAAATCAGCGAAAAAAACAGGAAATTTAAAACTTAGCCAACAGACTGTTGGAAAAGTGTCAATCAACGCCAGGGAGCAAAAAAATATACTGAATGGTTTTTGAAAAAACTTCACTTGCGAACAACGTATTCCCTTGTGCTCTTCAAATTTCGATAAAAGTTTATGATTCACACTTTACTGATAGATTTAACCCAATGAGAGAAAATTGGATCAATAAGTATTTTTATGCCGCTGGGAAAACTAAAATCCTATTTCGAAGCTAGGAATTGCTGATGTTGTTGTAGTTTCCTCAAAAAAATTGCGTTCGTTTAATTCGGTGCCGTTTCGTCCCTAGTTCAGTGTAATTGGTCCCGAAGAGATAGATAGGGCATGCCATTAGCGTAAAATATTAGAACGTTGTTTTGACACGGAAATCGTTTGAAAAGGCCTCGCGTTTTCCTGTGAGGCCAGCACACTCCGTCAAGCTAATTTGATTTTTGAGGAGTTAAGCTCTCCCGCCTCTTCGTGCTTTGTGAGCTGAAGGCGTTCAGCTACACGAAGGATGTCGATCCACAGACTAAAGATGCTGAGATAAGTCGGTCTATCGGGACAGTTGAAAAAGGATGCGCGACAACCTCGTATTTTGCTTCCTGTATGGGCCTGCTAACTGATTCTATCGTTCGGCGGTCTAAAAGCTCCACAAGATAGCTTCCGCGCAAGATTTGTTTAAAAAGCATTTTATTATGCACTCGAGCAGGGATAATTTCAGTTTCATCGCCTAAATGGTCATTTTTTGTCAATTTAACACGGCCAGTAATCGTTGTAGCTGTGTTAAACGTGTATTGTTGCTTGACCAGTTGATGTTGCTCAAACTTGGAGACCAGATGGGTGCGGCGTAGTTCATCACGCTACGGCTGACTTTTTTCATAACTGAATCTACTGACTTTCTAGAATCTCCAATTTGCACTTGGATGTTTTTCTGGCCTGAATTTTAGTTTCATAATTTACTTCGGCAGATAAAAAACTAACAAAAGTTATCATAGATTTGTTTTCAAGGGATAGATTTCAGTGCCTGTTTTTTATTAGTTGTTTAGTTAATAGTTCATTGGTGTGTGTAGTAGCTTCATTGGATTGAGCGTTAAGATAGTGAGTGATATCACCAGCATAAGTGACTAGCTCAACCTTTTCACCGGGCGTATGCTTGGAGCTCATATTTTAGCGTAAGATTATGCTCGAGAGAACAGAAACATTGTGGTACCTCTTGTTGAACGTTTCTCATGTCAGAGTTTGCATCTCTAAATCCAAATATTGTGAAGCGTCCTCGAAGTGAGGATCACGGCCATAGCTTGGTGTTTGATGCTAAGTCTGAGTTATATATCATCAAAACAACGCTACACTCGGCTATCAAAGGCGGCAGTGAGATGCAGTGTAACCATGAGTGTTCTCTGGCATCGTTTTTCATGATTCAGTCCATCGGTTATGTGATTACTGATAGATATAAGTAGCATCACGGTAGACCAAACTTTGCTAAAACCGTAATGGTGGTTTGCTAATTGTATATTTAGGTGTAATTAAGGCAAGAGAACCATTTCCATTAGTTCGGCGATACTAGTACAAATAAAGTAACTTTTTAGACATCTCTAGATCCTTCTTCGGTTTAGGAAGTGGAGTTATGAAGGATATTTCCCATTTGAGGTTTTGTGACCGCATTGATAGGGAGCACTAAGGCCATTTGGTCAGTTAGTGTAATTGGATGAGAGCAAGTTGAAAGGAACCTAGAGCCTTGTTGTTTATAGATTTTTTGATGGCTTCTAAATAGATTACTCGGTCGACCAGACAAAAGATTTAATGGTGGATCACAGTCTGCTTTAGTTGACTTAATGGTTGCCATTTATCGGGAAAAACATAAATTTTTCTTTTTGCTGTTTTGAAAAAGTTGGTTATTCTCTCTTTGAGAGGACAAATGTTTAGGTGATCTGAATTTTCTTTTGGAAGATAATCTCGACGTGGCATCACTTTTAGTGCTTTAGAAATCAGATTTGGCAGTTAATCGCAGTTAGTAAAAAAAATTATTAAAAACACTAAAATGCTGAAAGAATCGAGATCTACCATATTTTTCATTTATCGCAATGTTTCATAATTGAGAAAATAAACTTGTCGAAACGGACAATTGATAGTTAAATAAGCATCACAACAAAGATTTACGAAGCGCTTATAAAGCCGAAAATACTTGAGCAGATATTCACTCAGCCGAAGCCAAATAATTTGATCAACAAAAAATTTGAAAAAATTCGTACAATCCCTCAAAATACACACGCACATAAACAAATTACTAACTCATACGATGCAATATGAGTGCACAAAGCCGATATATATAAGCCGAAACCTTTAAAGTAAAAAAAAACGATATACTTAAATCGGAGTAGGACAAAAAATCGAGAAAACGGTCATTTAAAACATAAACATCTTCAAAAAAGCCGCCTGCTAGTTGACCGAAAAAAAAAACAGAATTGGCGCTGCCTAAAACACTTATAAAAACTATTGAGATAACTAAAGCTACATCGGCAATTACCTGGGAATCAATAATATAGATGAGAGCATGACACTGCGAGAAAATTTTCTCTGAATCGATAACACTGGCATCCAATACATCGAGTTGACCTGGAAAAAACAGACCTTTCTGTTGAGCTAGATTTTAGTTTATTCTCCATCTAATTTTCCAGCTATCTTACCGGGGAACTCCCAAACTTCAAAGCGTACAAATGAAGAATGGTTGATTGAATCCTTTTGGATTTTGCTTGTAGATTGGAGGAATAAAGTCTCGTTAGGTGACATTTTATGAAAGACTACACGGTTAATTGCTGTTTTCCCCGAACGCTGTCTGCCAGTTAGCAAGATTCGAGGCTTTGTATCTCGGAAAGCATCTTGACCTTCATCCGTCCTGCCGAATAACTGAGGCGAACCTACGGCAACGCCACCAAAAGAGCCCATTTCATCAAATTCTCCGCTAGTGTTGAGAGTCATTTCTATTCTACAGAGACATGCTTTCTGAACCAATTATTTATGTTGAGGCAAACATTCATTAATTATAATCAGAAGGTCAAAAGTAAAGTATCATAGTAACCGAGGTTACAGTCAGGAGTCCCTTAATCAAATATTTCAGTCAAAATCCTAAGAATTTTCTAGATATGGAAGAGTAAATTATAACGTGAATAGAAGTAAAGAGAGTCAGATGGTTGGGAATCAAGCCAAGCAGATTGAGAAAACTACCACTTACGCAGAATATACCGCAGTAGAAAGAAACTCAAAAAGATTGATGAAAAGAAACAGAGCAGATCGACGTGATATGAGTTTATTTGGTTTATTTTGTGGGGGCCAGCTCCCTGAATTATCTGAAGTCATCACTGGGGCACAGAGAACGTTTACGATTTGCAAGACAATCCACAGCCATCTCCGGGCTTTCATTGAACCCTTATTCAAAGAATCCTCTGAAGATAGTGCAAAATCTAGTAAAAAGACAGGGTGTGCTCCGACTTCGATCAAATCTTGTCATCTGGCATGACACAAAAAACAACTCACTGACAAAACACCGAAGTAACTACAACCCATTAACGAACAAATTCCACCCCCTCGCCCCATCTCAACTAGTCGAAGATCTTAGGCATCTAAACAGCACCCACAAGATAGAGGCCATCGTCTACACTCGCAGAGAAGGTACACGCGATATTTACGAAGAGCTCAACTCCAGCGGAATCTTGGTAATTGACGCCATTAGAGATCTCATATCCAGTAGAAAACGCAAGGATATCCAGCTTAAGTACGAAATCGCAAAAAACCATCCCGATATTGTCATTGAAAAGCGGCTCGTTAATACAATAATCCGAAACAAATCAGACCTTACTGGACTCAAGAAAAGCAGGAAGAAGAGACTGAGCTACAAGAACAAATAGAAGTCAAGAATCGAAAGCGACCAGAGCACAAAAGAAAGCAATAAGAAGCTGAGCAAGAAACAAAAGGACAGGCTCAAGACGCGTATCGCCCTTGGACTCCAAAAATAAGTAAGACTCTCCTCGCCTTTAATTATATTCTTGTTGAGTACTTGTGATTCTAACCGCCCCAGTGCATCCATAGGAATTAAGTTTCCTAGGAAGCGCGGGAAAGTCAGAGCATAATTAGATATATACCCAACCGAGTTGAACTAAACCCAGTACATCTATAGGAAATCAGTTTTCTTAAGAAGTGCGGGTAATTTCAACTTCGGTTTGTCAATTCCAACCTGTGTTCCAACAATCTCAATGCATTCTTGGGAATTAAGTTTCTTAGAAAGCGCGGGATAGCAGGAGCTCACGTTTTGCAAACAAGTCCTTTACCCCTAGTGCATCGTAGGAATTATGTTTCTTACGAAGCGCAGGAGATAAGGGTCTCTTTTCTATTCCTTTTCTATTCCTACACATTCCACTTCCCCAATACATTCCACAATGGCGCCATCAAAACCGAAAAACTGCTGCAAAACATGCACAAATCCCATAACGGCACGGGATGCCGTGTTTCTATGTGTCTCATGCAGAGACTCAATGCACTTGACCCCTATGTGCACCGAAATGAGTGAACGAGCAACCTTCGGGATAAGTGAGGTCAGCCAAAACCTCCTACTTATCTGCAACGCATGTGTCCGCCTAAACCATAGGGACCGCACGCTGGACAAACTTGCATCCACCAGAGAAAACAACGACATAAAGCCAATAGTGGAGAGCGTTGAAGAAGTCAAAAATCAGCTCCAATCCCTGACAAGTAACATCGGTAACGTCGAAGGTATAAAGGACCAGATAACTTCCCTGAGAACCGAGATGGCTCCACGACCTGACAGTGAACTCACCACCAGCAGAACAACAAAAACATCAGAACCAAAAACCCAGAAGAAAAAAGAAAACTACGACGGATTACGGGTGCGAGGCATTGCAGAATCGAAGGCCAAATCGCCAAGAGAACGGTACGAACACGACGTGAAGGAAGTTAAAAGTATTCTGGAACTCCTAAAAATCGACTGTCCGATCGATGATGTAAGGCGATTGGGAAACTACGATGGCAAAAAAGACAGAACACTCATAATCAAAACAACCAGCGAACACCAGCGACGGCTGATACTGCTGTCGCTATACAAATTAAAAACTTACTCTAAAAAGGTATATATGAGCAAGGAACTATCCCCTGAAGACCAAAAAATTGAAAACGATTATTTGAAACTACGCCGAAAGATGATCGAAAACGAATACGACAAAAAACGTCTACGAATCAGAAACCTCAAGCTTCAACAAAACACAAACGAAACTGACGACAAGAATCTAGACAACTGGGAAAATGTTCCGCCAGAACCAGAACAATGACTACATACTAAAAGTTCGCTCAGTATTCTAAATTTCAATGTCAGGAGCCTGCTAGACATTAGTAGACGCATGACATTGGCAAATGCAGTTCTTACAAACGACTACGACATCATCTGTCTAACTGAAACATGGCTCACAACTGCAGTACCAGACGAGGCCCTCTTTCTATCAAACTACACAATACACAGAACAGATCGACCCAATACGGGTCAGAACACTAAGCACGGCGGAGTCCTCATTGCAGTGAAAGGTTTAACTCATAGCAGAATAGAACTCAAAACCGAACTAGAATGTGCTGCCATCGAAATCAAATCTCGTCAGAAGCAGATAGTAATCTGCTGCTTCTACAATCCCCCCAAAAACAGCCCGTATAGAGCATCTCCCGACAACATAAAAAACGTCTTAAAACAGCTTCATGACTCGCTTAGTGACAACTCATCGCAACTCATCCTAACCGGAGATATAAATCTTGCAGAAGCAAACTGGGACAGCCTAAACTCAAACGACGAATACGAAGCCAACATACTGGACACTCTAGAAAAGTACGATCTACATCAGCTAATCACGTGCCACGAAGGCAGGAGCACAATACTCATCAAACGGAAAAAAGTGTTCCGATCATCACGCATACAAAACTTATTTGTCCCTACCAACTTCGAGCAAAATAACAACCCCAGCTATTAAACGCGCATACCAGAAAACCGACTGGGATGATTTCAACAAACAAATCGTCAGCCAGCCATTTACACCATACTGCTACAGCAACATTGACGTCCTACTGTTACAGTGGTACAAATGGCTCGAGAACATCATCGACGAAAAAATACCCCGAGTCACCAAACACAGGGCAGAAATTCCACCTGGATTAGATCATCCACCTCACATCAAATGAAGATAGTCGCGACAATGAAGCGTAAATACGCAAAAGCAAACTCACTCTCGCTACTCCTGAAAATCAAAAAAGCTGAAAAAAGCCTGAACGAAGAAATCATAATGCATGGTAAAGCATGGCGAGCCTTCTTCAACCTCAAACGTAACATCTCATGCTATGCAAATCTCGAAACAAAATTGAACGCCTATGTAGGTTACGTCGTCCCTGTCATTTCCTATGCATCGCAGGTATGGTACCCATCAAAAACCGAAATGCGGGAAATCGAAAGAGTTCAACAAAAAGCTACTACATGGATACTTAACTACTCCATCGGATACAAAGAGAGACTACGTACCCTGAAGATCTTACCACTCTCAATGTACATCGAACTCCATGATATACTGTTTCTTCAATCGGTGATGGACGGTAAATACAGCGTCAGTGAAAATTCAATTCCAATATCACTGAGAGAAAGCACCACGAGACAATGCAGCGAATTCGAGCTCAACAAAAACCGCATCATCAAAACAGACGAAAATTTCTGGACGAGAGCCCCGAAACTTTTCAATATACTCCACAAACAGTTTCGCGACAACCCGACGAAAAAACAACTGACAGAAAGTTACTTCAACTACTTTGAAAACAGTTACAATCAGCTAGACACATGCACCTGGCGTGTACTGTTTTCCTGTGGATCGTGTAACCCCTACCAAAAACTCATGCCAGCTGAAAACTGAAGGGTTGACACCCCTGGGCCAATGAGCCCTAAAGCCTCTACTACTACTACTACTACTACTACTACTACTACTACTACTACTACTACTACTACTACTACTACTACTACTACTATTACTACTACTACGGGTCTATCAGATACTTATACTAAGCTGCTCTTTTGTTCCCTCAGCTTTATAAATAAAAAATTTCTTCGAAATTAGTTTTCACCATTGATAGTGCCGAGTACACAGGCAGAGTTCGTAACCTGTACTGCCAGGGAGTTTCTCTTCTTAAATAACTGATTGCCCTGGGTTTCTCGGCACAAGTCCTCAAGTTTTTACAGAGCTTGATTAGAAAAACTTCAGTGGTAGGATTGGCAGCACTCTGAACTTCAAAAGCTATTGATTAAAGCACGGCGGAGTTCTAATTGCTATAAAAAACTATCTAATATCTCAAGAAATTTTTCAAACGAAAGCTATTAAAGGTGCTGTTGTTGCATGCTCCCTTATTTTCAATGAACGTCAAATTATGCTAGTTTGTTTTTACAACCCTCCAGTATCTCCAACAAGCAATATATATCACACAGCCCAAGAAAAGATATTCGAACTATTTAACGAAATCATTACCATATCTCGAAACTATGCACACTTAATAATATACGGTGACTTCAATATGCTGAATGTTAATTGGAACAGTTACACCTCAACCTGTGACCAAACTCAACTTTTCCTTGACCAAATGATTGAATATAACATGCATCAAGAAGTTAAACATAATACTGCTTCATCTGGAATTCTAGATCTCCTATTTGTTAATTCGAAGACCGAAGTAATCTTCTGCAAAAATGCAAAGACAAAAAATTAAATTGTCTCTCAAATCATGATGTCATCTTAACCAGATTTAAGTTTCAGAGTTTTTCCTCAACCTTCACGAGACAAGCTACTGTCCCTACATCATTAGTTATTGCAATGCTGATTTTGACCAGATGAATTCCCACATACTTGAACTACCTTTTGAAGCGATTTGATGGAGCAATGTTAACGTCTTAACAGAGCAGTGGTACGACTGGATACGAACGATTATCAAAGAAAATGTACCTCATAGAACAAAACACCGAGCTCGACTGGCCCCTTGGATCAAACCCAAAACGTCGAATCAAATAAAACAATCAACAAAAAATCACAGAAATGCAAAAATTATGCAAATCACTGATACAAAAAAGACAAAAATGAATATGAAACATCTCTAGCCTCTTCCAGATCGACTGAGCAGTCATTTAAATACTTCCGTAGCTTCATGACGACTCATATTCTTGCTTCAGTATATCTAAAAAGTGAAACTGCAAATGATCCCAAATCACAATGTGCATTATTTTCTAAATTTTTTGCCTCCACATTCAAGGCATCTTCAGCATTTATACCAGATAACAGTTCACCTTTGCTACCTCTACTTACCGACTTTGATGTTACCTCCACACAATCGATGAAACATGCACTAATCTAGACATCAAAAGTTAAAAAGTTATTGGTCCGGAAGAATTACCGCTTATTGTTTACATAAAATTTTCAAAGCAAGTCACTAAGTCAATTATTCTATAAAATAAAGCAAACAGGAGTATTTTCTGAATGCTGGAAACATTCTAATGTTAGT